AAACCATACTCTCTTGGGGCAAATGTGGACTCCAACAAGCACCCGCAATGGAGCAAGTCTTGAACAATTTAAAACCCAAATAATCTACAACAGGCCTGTTCCTAGACTCAGCAATTTTGATACAAAACCAATGAACAGAATACATAGTACAAGCCATCAAATACCCAACAACAGCATCAGGAGTAGAGTTACCTAAACAATCGTCAAACTCACCGACTGGGTTCACCAAAATTCTCAAAATCTTTTGATTGAACCGATACTTTGCCACAAAAACGTCATTGTTTTCATCACATACAACCTCCAATTTACCCTCTTTCACTTGAAGAACCAAAAACCCAACTTGGTCATGGTTGGACCCAGTTGAGTAGAACACGAGAGCAATGTTCTGGTCCAGGCAGTGAAGCAACCGGAGGCGATTATGAAGCAAAAAAGACGTGGCAGCAGGGTCATGATGGTAGGAGCTTGCACCAAAGAGAGAAGCAATGGAGTGTGCCGTGGAGAGCGGGACAGAAGATGTGATAAGAAACCTGGACAGGGAGAGTTGAGGAGTGGGATTGAGGATAGGAGGAAATAAAAACGATGAAGAGAAGAGGGGTTCTGGTGGGGTATTGGGTTTAGGGTTGAAGCAAAGGGGGCCTAAGGAAGAAGAAGAGAGAAGCAGTGGCAGCTTGAAGGAGGTGCGAATTGGGAACTGAGACTTCCATTCGTCCGATAACTCCATTAGGTTTCGTTTTGATACTCCGATGAACTTTAAATCAGGGGAAAGAAATCTAAGCTACTGTTAATAAACATGAGCAGAAGATTGAAGGGGAAAGAAACGAAGAAGAACAAGAAGGTAGAAAGTAGGGAGTAACATTGAAAGAAGAGAAAAATAGCGAGGTGTTGAGATGCAGGGGAGACGAAGAAGAAAAGAGTGGAGGCGGCTTGCTGGACAAACAGAGGTTTTGGGGGGAGAGATGAACTGAGCCGAGAGATGATGGGAAGTTGCCAGTTGCCAGGGGCCCGTTAGGTCGGGGCCCGTTAGGTCAGGGCCAGGACTTGGTCCTGGGCCTGGGCCCGGACCGTCAACAGAAAGCACCGAGCAGATGCAAAAAGTATGTTTGGGTCTCCCTCTTCCGATTTTGCCTATAAAGAGGGATTTCAGGAGAGGAAAGCAACGAATCTAGGAGATTATTGTGAGTTTGGGTTGGAGGAATCAAGAGCAATAGAAAGTCCAAGCTTTGTTTTCGGAATCCGAAGGTTACTGCAGACATAGGTATCATTTTGTTTTGATTTATTTTATTTATATTATATCTTGATATTAAATGGGAGTCTGAGTTCTCTTGAATTTGTTGTGAACTTATTCTGAGTTTCATTCGATGTTTACTTTGCATTGGGAATTTCTTGATTTGGACATGAAATTGTGGAATTATCGCGTAAAAGGGTTCCGTTGGGCTTGGTTTAGGCTTAGGATCTATTTTCCTATTTTTAGAAAATTTTCTGGAATTTTTCTTGAAATTTTTTAAGTTGTTGGAAAGTGCAGAGTTGGGCCGGAATTCAACCGGAGCACCTTCGCAAACTTAGCAACCCAACTACTCTGCTAATATCTCAGTTTAAAGTTACTTCATGGTTAGGTGATTCTGTCAATTTCTCACAATTCAGAAGGTAACCAAAAACACAGAAAAGCCAGGATGAAGAGGGTAAAAGGTATCGATGGTGCATCCTAGGGTTTCATCGCTTGAATCTCCAAGTGTGGCATCACTTAGCACTCCAATCAAAACAGGTAATAAATACATCAATCTGACTAGCCTACATCTGTTGATATCTTGAAGCATTTGGAATCCATGTTTTGTATTTAAACTACTGATAACTTGGGGTGAGCAACAAGTTTTCTGTGTGTTTTTGCTTGATTTTCATATGGAAGGAAGAGTGGCACAATTTTGCTGGTGTTTAGAATTAAATGGAATGTGGAGGAAGAGGTAAATAAAGGTAGTATTTTGTTTTATTTGCATAAAGTTTT